GAGCGCGGGGGCCTCCCCGTCGCAGAGCCGGCCGGCAGAGGCGCCCCCCGCCTACACGCCGCAGGCCGCCGAGGGCCACTACACCGTGTCCTACGGCACGGACACCGGGGAGTACTCCTCGGTCGGGGAGAACTTCCACCGGAACCACGCCCAGCCGCCGCCCCTGGAGAGCCTGGGGCTGGACGCCGACGAGTTGATCCTGATACCCAACGGAGTGCAGATTTTCTTCGTGAACCCCGCGGGGGAGGTCAGCGCGCCCTCCTACCCGGGCTACCTCCGGATTGTGAGGTTCCTGGACAACTCCCTGGATACGGTTCTCAACCGGCCCCCTGGATTTCTTCAGGTACACCGAAGGAAAGCTCGGGAGGAGGGGGAAGTATGGGTAGGGTATGTCACGTCTGTCAGTGTCCGTGTGTCCAGGGTAACGGGGCAGAGGGTGGGTGATCGTTCCAGCCCCTTTGTCACAAGGTAAAGCCTGCGGAGGCCGGCACCTGTATAGGGTGCAAACCGGATGGTGAGGAAACACACATGTGCTCCACTGGGAGCGAGCAGCTGCGCCTGTCGGAGGCAGAGCGCTGTGGAGACCTGGGCAGGCCGGGCAGCCGTGGGCTGCTGGTTCCCGTCGCTCTCACCGCACCTGACGTGGAATTCCAGAGTCGAGTGTCCGTGTTGATGCTGGACAGCCTTCTTCCTTTTGAAGGCAGTCTGGTTTTGGTGTTAAATTGTGATGACACAATTGTGGAGGGTGCAGAGCTCCATCCTTGCGGGGTTCCTTGTCTGAAGAAGGAGCTGGCACGGTGACATGGGCAGGGCTGGGACTCCGCGGGGCCAGCACGGGGACGTTGGGCAGGGCTGGGACTCCCCGGGGCAGGCACAGTGACGTTGGGCAGGGCTGGGACTCCGCGGGGCCGGCACGGTGACCTTGGGCAGGGCTGGGACTCCAGAGGGTTGTCTCATTCTTCCTGGTCTCGCAAGGTCTCGGCCCTGGGCAGCGTGCGCTCCTAGCGCTTTCCTGTCACTGTCTGTTGTCAGGTACCATCGAGTGAGCTCTGAATGGCGGCAGCCCCGCGTACACAGCATGACACACTGCCCGGTCCCGCACCATCCTCGCGATTGTTGTGTTTGAGCCCATTGTCGCAGCCATCCCTCTCGTTGAGGGTCTTGCCCTTTCTCGCTGACCCTCTACTTTACCAACATGATGTCCTCTCCAGCGACTGGTCTCCCTCCTGGTAACACGTCCCCATCACGTGAGCTGAAGCCTCGCCTTCCTTGCCCCTAAGAAGCATTCTGGACGCACTTCTCTAAGGCACATCGGTTTGCTCTCGAGTGGAGATCGACGCGATGGCAGTGGGTGTGACTTGCTGTGGGCTTTGGTTGTCCCTGGTATGTTCAGTCCTTCACCAGCACCACAATTCAGAGGCGTCAGTTCCTCTTTGGTCTCCCTTATTCACTGTCCACCTTCCACATGCTTACAAGGCAACTGAAAATACCGTGGCCTGGGTCGGAGGCACCTTAGTCTCCAAACTGACATCGTCACTCTTTAACACTTAAAAGAGGTTTTTTGCAGCAGATTTGCCCAGCGCAATGCAATGTTTGGTTTCTTGACTGCTGCTGCCCTACGTGTTCATTGTGGATCCAAGTGGAATGAAATCCCTGACTTCAGTCTCTCTCTGTCAGTGGGAAGTCTTTGCCTTTTCCTTCTCTAACAGGTTTCCACCTTCCACAGGTTCCAGCTTTTAGAGGGTTCACTATCATTTTAATTTCAAAATAGGTCTCTGTTATTCATGTGGGCATGTAACTGGAGAGACTCGCAAATGTCGTCAGGTCCAGCCAAGGAGCTGGACTTGGCTAGACTCAGTCCAATATCTGAAACACTCGTCTGTAGCACAGGGTGTGTTTGTCCCCAGGGGGCATGTGGCCATGTCTGGAAATGTTGGTTGTCGCAGCTAGGGGACTGCCGCTGACAACGGCAGGCAGAGGCCAGGCGGGCTGCCCCAAACATCTGGAGAGACGGGGATGGTAGTTGAACATCGAATTCTGATAGTCCCAGCAAGCCCGTGTCGCAGCAGTTGGTCTGAGAGCAGAGCCCGTGCTGAGGACGCATGGTGTGAGGGGGTGGCTGTGGAGCTGCTGGTGGATTCTGAAGGTGACGGCCCCATACGCTCTTACTGTAAAGGCCGAATGCGCGTCCAGGGGTCAGGTTCTAGGCAGGAGGATGCAGCACGTGTTGGTGTCTGGAGCAGTTGCATCGAGGAGGGGTCACCGTTTCAGCACCTGTGTCTAGAGTCCAAGGCACGAGGACACTCAGTCCAAGTGGGCGGTCTGCACCCATCTGCTTGGCTGGTCTCCTTGCGGTTCTTAGTAACACCCGCAGGGTGATCGCTGGAAAGTTGTTCATGACAGTTGGAGACTTGCTCTGGGTGTGAGGGACATAGTGGGGGACACTGTTCAAAGGAAGATGTCCTTTTAAAACTTATGGTTCCTGTGGGTTTTTTCTTTTCCTGTTGCCTTCAGGTCTGTGACTGGCTGTACCCTCTGGTTCCTGACCGCTCTCCAGTTCTGAAGTGTACTGTGGGCGCCTACATGTTTCCTGACACGATGCTGCAGGCGTCGGGGTGCTTTGTGGGGGTCGTGCTGTCCTCTGAGTTACCCGAAGATGACAGAGAGCTCTTCGAGGACCTGTTAAGACAGATGTCTGACCTTCGGCTCCAGGTAACACATCACTTGCAGGATAAGAATCGACTTCATCAACTGTCCTCTTTCTCTTAAAGCACTCGTAACAGGAGTAACATGACCAGAGGAGGAGATACAAGAGTCCACGGCGTGCTGGGCTGCTCACCAGTGCTTGCTGGGAATTGGCTGCAGATGGTGGTTACGCCTGTGGGCTCGAGTCAGATTGCCGGGTGTGGGCTCCCCCTCTTCCTTCCTGGCTGCTTCACTGGCTCAGGTGGCTGATACGCCCTCTACTTCGGTTTCCTTATTAGAAAATGGGGGTACTGTAACACCCGTCTCCTTGGGATGTATGCAGATTCCAAAAAGTAACACTTGTCACACACTTCTGTCAGGGCACATGGTGACACAGTGACCGTCAGCTGTTGCTATTGGCACACTTACTGCTCGGTGGGAAGAGCAGGCCCGTGGCACTCCATGGTGACAGTGAAGGCCCTTAGGTAGCACCGGGCTGGTGCTGGGCGTCTCAGCAGGCAGCCCGCCTTCTGTTCTCACGGTACATGAAGGCCAGCTGGGAGAATGAAGCATGGTTAACCGTACGTCATCTGTGGGCGTCCTCCCCTCACAGCCTGCTTCTGTGTCCACATCTCAGCTGTTACCGACTTGAATGAGAGTCTCATGGACGCCCTTCCTCCAGGTGTTCTTGCCCATCCTAATGTATGGCAAGAGGGCAAACGTATTTGATCATGAATTTTGACAGTGTCTGGAGCTGGATGGGTGAGTTTGACGTCAACCAACACATATTTAGGATCCATTGGCAGCCAAGTACTGTATTAAATGGTGGGGTGGGCAGCACATGAGAACAGGAGACTGTAATGTAACATAGACGCACACATACACCCCCTTCGCACCTAGCAACATAGTTAAGTTCAAAGACCAGGTCATTATACAGAAATTGGCATTCCGTGACAGTGGAGGCTGACTGCCTGACAACAGAACTGCCAAAGCCTGAGCATCAGCCCAGCCAGGGTGACGTACAGCCTCACCCGGCAGCCAGTGCACCTCCCACTTCGACGCGCGTTACTGCCGGACGAATGTTGGTGATGCACAGAGAGTGGGGTAGTAGAGTTTACTGTGGTGGTAAGTGAGACGCTGGGTAACGGCCTGCTGAGTGAGGAGGAGGTGTTTGTGTTGTGTCGACTCGGCCCCGTGCAACAGGAGAATTGCTCCATGAAGTTTTCTTGGCTGTCACCTTAACAGAAGCAGATCGCCAGCCTTCAGCCACGCCACCAGGAAGGTTAGCAGTTGAACACAAACAGTTGGCATGGCAACAGGAGCTCTGGTGGCGTAGTGCCTAAGGCACTTGACTGCTAACCAGAAGGGTGGCCGTTCAAACCCACCACCCACTCCTCGGAAGGAAGGTTGGGCAATCTACTTCAGTAGAGATACCGCCTCAGAAACCCAAGGAGGGGTTGCTATGAGTCACAATTGACTCGACAGCAGTGATGTTTTTTTATTTTAAAGACCTTAAATATGTGTACAAAGATATGAAAAATACACATACATGCATGCAGCCCCTATTGTCAAGCACCTTACATCCTGTTCAATAAACACAGTATAATGTGATACTATTGTTGTTGTTGTTTGCCGTTGAGTCAGCCCCGACTCATAGCGATCCCTCCTTGGGTTTCCAAGACAGTATCACTACGGAAGTAGGATTGCCCAACCTTCCTTCCGAGGAGTGGCTGGTGGGTTTGAACCACCAGCCTTC